GGAATAAGAAAGGTGTCAAGTACCACAGGAGCCCCGAGGGCACCATGGTTAAGTGTGTGCCGTTGAGTCGGTTCCAACCCATAGAGACCCTGTATAGGGTTTCCGAGGGTGTAAATCTTTACGGGAGTAGAAAGCCTCATCTTTCTCCCGCGAAGGAGCTGGTAGTTTCGAACCGCTGACGTTAAGGTTCGCAGCCCAATTCGTAACCACTACGCTACCAGAGCTCCTTCGTCTCTGTACACACCCACATTTCAATGTGAACTCTCAACCATGTATAAATGCTACTGTTTTTTAATCACACATTGCATAGAGGGTCCAACTGCCCAGTTTGGTCCCACACGTGCCCTAACCCCAGAAGATCACATGCAGTCCTGACCCAGCAGACACGCACTACACGCTACTGTATTGTTAGTTTCGACAGTATCATTTTGTGCGGTGTCATCACTTCGACAGAGTTAAGCCAACAGCCTCGTGGGTTAATTCCCCATGATTTATTCTCTTCTGTCACTTCCAGTTTAGCTAACTGAACTGGTCTACAGGGAAACAGTAATGGGCATGCGGTCCACTGCCAGAACCCAACTGGCTAAGAAGACACACAAATTTGGATTCAGTCTGACCTGGGTTGGAATCCTCAGCTCCGCCGCTTACCAGCTGTGGGAACTGGGCCACATTTTTCACTCTTTGGGGCCTGTTTCATTTAACAAACTCAGCTAACTCCATTGCTGTCAAGTCAGTTCCCACACACAAGACAGAGCACAACTGTCCCATAAGATTTCTAAAGCTGTGAGATCTGTACAGAAACAGACACATCTGTCTCCAAGAAAGTGACTGGTGGGGTTGAACCACTGGCCTTTCCGTCAGCAGCCCGATGCTTAATCCACTGCATCACCAGGGCTCCATAATAAAAACTTAAGGGCACCTAACTTGATTTTCTCAGCGAGCCCTGGGAGGCAAGTCCTGTTGCCATTCTTACTGTCCTCTGGAGGAACAGGAAGCCTGTGTGTGACAAGTCACTGAGCGAAGACTGCCTCTGGGACCTGGATGTGAAATATCTCCCCAGTAGCCAGCCAGCAGGGACTAGGGGGACGTGGGGTACGCATGATGTTCGTTCCATCCACGCCTCCTCTGCAGGCTCCAGGTCTCCTTTCCTGTCTGACAGGATGGTTCCGGGTCTCTAAGAGCTTTCTCAAGAATCCACTGATACCATCTTTTACCAATTTGCAGTTGAAAACCTACCTGTGTTCCCTCCCACTGAGATTTTTAATCAAATATTCAACACAGGGAGAGGGACCAAGCACTCCTGCACACAGTGAGCGGTTAATTAGCACCTGCAATGTGGCAGCCAGAAGCTTTGGCAGTCAGTCATTCCAGGTCTGAGCTCGTGTTCTTTTCCCAGTTTCTTGGAGGTCCCCTGAAACCAGAACCAGCACCTCCTCCACTCAGCTGTCAGTCTCCAGGGGGATCCAGGTGTCCCCCCCACGCTGAGACAGGAGCAGGCAGCAGAAAGGCAAATGCTGGGGATGCCTTCCAAACAGGCTGGGAGCAGGGGACAGAGAGACAGGAAGTCCAGTGTGGATGGGGACAGAGGGCCATTCTTCATGGCCTAAAGGGTGGATGGGAAGAAGGAAGAGCTAGAAGTAAAGGGCACTGGGGAGAGGAGGGGAAAGATTGAATATTCAGTAGTCGCTGTGCAGTGTAGCAAGTGCTTCACCTGAGTCCCCTGGCCAACCTCCAGAGACAGGCTGTCTTCTTTCACAGGTGGAAACAACTAAGAATCAACGAAGGAAGCTCTCCCGAGGTTGTACAAGACTTACCTTCCTCCCCTGAAGCCCACCAGCTGCCCCTGGTTCATGCATTCTCTGCAGTAGCACCCCAGAAAACAAGACAACAGGAATGAGGAGAGAGACAAGGGTCCAGCAATTCTAGGGGACGCTCTGGAAAAAGCTCGTGTGATCCCTCACTGCCCAGCCTAAGCATCCCCCTTGCACAGGAGCAGGGGGGTTACAGCCACTGAGACACACTCCCGGCCGCCAGCCAAGGAGGCCAGGGGATCTCGGCAGTCATTGCTAGAACTGAGGCCCTGGGGACTGGCTTGTCTCTGCCTTAGAGAAGGAGACCAGAGACCAGATGAACAATCAGCGGTGACAGGAGCCACATCCAAGACTGAAAATACACAAGTGGGGAGATGAACCCCTGGAATCAGAGATCTGATGAAGCACTGAGGGAGGGAAAAGGATGATATGGCGGCCTGAGGGAGAGGAAAAGGCAGAGACTTTCCATACGCGCCTCACCACAAATGACAACAGGGTCTGACATGTAGCTGTAAAAGCAGGGGAACCGTCATTCTGCCCACAGAGGCACTGACATTCTCACAAGTAACAAAGATTCAGGACCTTGGAGTGACAGCCACAGGCATGGTCTGAGAGGACCTGGAGGGAGAACATGGGACGGCACATGTGCAGTGGGAATAAGAAAGGTGTCAAGTACCACAGGAGCCCCGAGGGCACCACGGTTAAGTGCTCAGCTGCTAACTGAAAGGTCAGCAGTTCAAACCCACCAGCTACTCCATGGAGAGAAAGATAGGGCACAGTCTAAAGTTCGACAGTCTTGGAAACCCTATGGAGCAGTTCTTCCCAGTCCTACCAGGTCACTATGAGTCACAATTGACTCAATGGCAACAGGTTTGTGGTGTCGTGGTTACACATTGGGCTCCCACCAGCAAGGTCAGCAGTTCAAATCCACCAGGTTTTCTGCTCCTGCAAAGATTTACAGCCTCGGAAACCCCACACAGGATTGCTATGATTCGGAATCGGCTCAGGGGCATACGCACCACTACACTGCATAGAACCGGGCTTCAAAAAGTTCACAGAAAAACTCCCAGTATGTTTTCATTCCTTGTGTCCACACACTTTCTGGCGCCCCCACCCCCACCCTCTGAGGGTCAGGCTGGTGGTTTGATAGTTAGTATGATCACCACTGCAGTCCTGCTGGGGTGCTGTAGGGCAAGCACTGGACTGCTAACCGCAAAGTTGACAGTTCAAACCCAGCAGCCGCTCCTTGGAAACCCTGTACAGACTCACAATGGGTTGGAACCAACTTGACGCTCCCATTAAAGGCCCAGGAGCCTGATAAATGGAAAGCCTTTTTATACCCGTACAAGGGGTGCCGGCAGAGCTCACAGACGTGGAAGGCCTTGCATTGTGAAACAGCACACACTCCCCGTGAAGAAAATTACACCAGATCATGAATTTCCCAGTCATTGCCATGCCACATTTGTGAAATAAGCATTCAGGCTGAGGCCCCTGAACCCTGCGGAGACTGGGACACGTGGCTCTGAGATTTTGCACCAAAGATGACTTCAGTTCAATTCAGATGGCAGGCCACACAACTATTGTTTTGTCTACAAAAGAGACATTCTTACATGAGGATGTCTGTCCCTCCTTCCCATTAACGCACACCCTAGCTGCCCTGCCTGCTGTTAAAAAAATACATGAAAACACAGAGAAAGCCAGACACGGGGAGAAAGTCAGGCAGAGCCGTACCTGTCTCGGTTTTGCTAGCGAAGCCCGCTGCCTGTTTGATGGCTGCCGCCGTGAGCGCCAGTCCCCGACTCCTCTTCATGCCATGCTGCAGGACAGCTTCGAACTGGGCGCACAGACAAGTTACCCTGAAAGAGAAGCAATGATTTGTCAATCCACCTGGGAAGAGAGCAGGGCAAGTCGCCAGGTAATAAGCCTCAGTGTGACACTGGATGGGAGACACCTGGAAGGACAGGTTGTTGTAGTTGTCATAGAGTAGGCTCTGACTCGTGGTCACTCCTTGTGTTTTCAAGGTTGTGACCTTTCAGGGTGGGTTCAAACCTCCAACCTTTTAGCTAGCAGTTAAGCACTTAATCATCTGTACCACGAGGGAAGCTTGGAAGTACAGGCAGTTCTTATTGTTACGTGCCATCGAGTTGGTTCTGAATCATAGCAACCCCTTATTGGGTTTCCAAGGAGCAGCTGGTGAGCTTGAACCACCAACCTTGCAGTTCAAACCACCTTTGCAGTCAAGCACTAGGAGGGTTTGGAAATTAACTGACACTCTTTTCCCTCATATCTGTTTCACTTAACACAGGAAGTCCCACACAGCCGACCTCTCTTATTAGAGTTTTTGCACACTAATTGCCATTCAATGGAATCAGAGCCAGCCAGCAGGGGATTATTTTAGTTTAGATTTTTTTAAAGAACAAATCCATTTGGGTGGTAAGAGGTTGAGTATTAATTGTATCCAATTCACAAGATGCCACTCCAATTCATATCACACAGAGTTTAAGGAACAAGATTTTATTTTCCGAGATGAAACTCACCAGCCTGCCAAATTAGACACGCTGTCATTTCATGGCCTGTTACGAGCACTGAAGAACAATACGAATTCTGAGTCTTGTTCTTGATTTTGTGGTAAGCAATTGTGTTGTGAAGCTGGTTGATGGAACTCTCGATTGAGTGCGTATAATTGAATTTGTTTCTCCAGAGCCAAAGAACCGCAAGATGACAGAGCAAGTTCACAACAAGATGAGATCACAGCAAAGACACTGCAGTCTTAGGAATCCCCCTGGGTCACGCACGTGCTCAAGTGTAATTCGCTCGGGGGACTTTGGCATCTCTTCCAATCACTCACCTGACACCTGTTTCCTGAACACAACCCATGTGCCAGGCTCTGTTCTAGGCTCTAACGATCCAAAGGTGGGAGTGAGACAGACAAATTCTCTACCTTGACACATCTACATTGTTCCACAAGGAGCCCTGGCAGTGCAATGGTTAAACGTTCCACCGCTAACCAAAAAGTGGGTGATCTGAACCCAATTCCAGAACATGACCTAGGGATCTGGATCTAAGAAGACAGACTAGAAAACGCTTTGGGCAAGTTCCACTTGGTCCCAGGGGGTTGACAGGAGTCAGAAATGACTCCAGGGCATCTAACATCTAGAGAGTAAAACATAAACAAGCAAGCTATATTGAAGAAAATAAAGGTTTAGACCACGAACTTGCTTAGACTGTGTGGCCTGAATGGAGGTGACGTTGGACAGGACAAGCAGCAGCAGGCTGGGCAGAAGGGCCCTGAACAAAGGCCCTGAGGTTCCCCACCATCGGCTCAGCCTTGCCTAAATGCAGGAATTTCCTGCCCCACCCAACCACCCACGTCCACACCTGTAGTGATGGACAGGTCAGGTGTTCATCTCTGCTGACACTGGGTCCTCAGCACATAGGTGATGCAGGGATCATCGTCTCCATTTTACACCTGGGGAATCCAGGGCTTACAGCCATGATTGACTTCCTGCAGACAGTCAATAATTAGCGGCACCTGCACTTGGGCCCCACCCCTCTCATAGAGGAAGCTGTCACTATCCTTGTACCACCAAGTCAGCATCTTTGCTTCTAAGGCCAAAAGTCCTCTCACTCTCTACCACTGACACCACAAAGCCCTAACACAACCTTAGCAAATACACAGCACTGGGCCTTGATGCTCCCTCCTGCGCCCACTATCACCTAGTAGATTTTGACTACCAGACAGAGAAGGACCGTTCCTGAGGGTTTTGAGACTTGTTCATCGTTATCTCATTGTCCGTCCTCGGGGCTTCTAGTGGGTTTGAACTGCTGACCTTGTGGATAGCAGCCCAACGCCTAACGCACAGTACCTCCATGGCTCCTGTATCCATGGCAGACATAATAAACCCATCCCAGCTTCTAGGCTATCACCCCAGCAAGGTTGCCACTGACACATGACCCAAGGTGGCCTACCAAAGGAAGACTACTTGGCATCCCAAACATAACCCCCCAAAAACACAATTTTTTTTTTAAAAAAACCCAGTTGCTCAGTGATCTTCTATAGGAATAACAGGACATGGGACATGTGTGAAACCCAGTGTGAGGCAGTTCTCAAACCCAGTAACACCTTGATGAGAACAGCAAGGAAAACCTTGCATGCGAAAGATTATGGGAACAAACACACTGACCAGGTGGCTGGGGGAGAAGTCTATAATGAGGAGAAAATATGTGTGCCTAACTGTTGTCTAGTAATAATCAACTCTAGCTTTGTTGTGGTGCCTGGACACGCCGCCTGTGGAAGACTGTACTTAAAGCTGTATTTTAGGTAATAAAGTCGCTCTTGACTGACCATCTTGAGTCTCCAGTCACTTCCATTCCCTGTCCGCCTCCAGAGACCCCCCCTCATACCAACTGGTCCTGCAGTCTTCAACCCATCTAGACAGGGCTGGTGGAAGGAGATAGGGATGAGACTCTTGTGGTTCAATAGTGAGTAACTGTTAACAGGACTGATGGCAATTTTGCAACTTTAAATGTAGAAGTTTTGTAGCAAAAAGAGGGGAGTGGTTGCTCTTGCAGTCCAGGAGCGGAGGATCTTGAGACCATAAAGGGAGAAGAGCAGGAGGGGAGTGTGGGACCCTACCCAGAAAAGCAGAGATGGAGGCAGAGATGATGACATGGAGAGATGGAGCAGCTGGGGACTCTAAACTCATGGAGGGAAACAGGGAGAGGGGCTGTGTGCCGGTGGCTGGGGGACAGTCTTGCAGGGTGTGCCCTTTGGGTGTTTAAATGACTGCATATTCCTGACTGTTTTGGTGTACACCAAAAAAAAAAAAAAAAACCAGAGGGAATAGAAGCAAATACTGTTAAATGGTGATGCATGGAAGGAATTGTAATCATTGCAATGAAACAAAATACAATAGGATGAGTGTAAAGCCGATGTTCTCCCATGTAAACTATCACTCAATTCTCAATAAAAACTTAAAAAAAAAAAAAAAAAAAAACAGTTGCTGGCAAGTCAGTTCTGAATCAAGGAAACTTCATATGTGTCAGAGTAGAACGGTGCAACATGAGGTTTTCAATGGCTGTGACCTTTCAGAATCCGAGGCGCCTCTTGGTGGGTTCAAAGCACCAACCTTTCATTTAGTGGCCAAGCACTCAACTGTCTGCACCAGCCAAGGACCCATCTAACTCCTGTCTTGTCTGTCTTATCCCCTGAGCCTAGCTTGGTGCCTGGTACATACTTTCCCAGTTGTGTCATGAAATGGGTTACCTTGACCCTTGGGTCACTGAAATTTATTTACTGGGCAGGTACCATCCATAAATATTGGATGTTCATAAGCTAGTCCGTCTACATAATATCCACAGGCATTTGATCAAACACATGGAGGGCTCCCACCAAAACCATCTACCTTCCACAGTAACCAAAACAAAGAGGCTTGAGTAACATGAAACCGAAACTGACCAATAACCTGCTTCCAAGGGGAAAAAAAAAATCCTGGGCATTCTCTAAAATTAACCAGAGCCTCGGCCTTTCCAAGAGTCCTGGGGTAGCACCATGGAATAAGCACTGAACTGCTAACCAAAGGTTGGTGGCTCAAACCCACCAGCCACTCCTTGAAAACACTATACAGGGTCTATATGAGTTGGCACTTACCAACATCTCCCTTTCCAAGTGTTCAAATACAATGTGTCACGCGACGCCCTGAGACTGATGCAAACTTGGAGATCCTTTACAAATCAGGACAGAGGAAAGGAGACAAGGGCTTTGTAACAATTAAAAGCACTGGGTTTTTTTGTTTGCTTTTTAATGACAAAAATTATGACACCAAGCAAGAATGACAGCAAGGCCTAGAATAAACAGGAAGGCCAATGCGAGCATGATCGTAGATGTTTGTTTGTATAGTAACAGATCAGGCCAACATCTCACCCACATCCTGAAGAGCAACTCTTCTCTCGTCACCATTCATCCTTTTACAGAGAAGAGCAAGGCAAAGAGGAGTTCCTAGCACACAAGATACTACGGAATCGGTTCTGACTCATAGGGACCCCATGCACCACGGAACAAAACACAGCCCGGTCCTGTGCCATCCCCACAATTGCTCTTAGGTGCTGCTGCCACTATGCCAGTCCATCTCGCTGGGGGTCTTCCTCTTTTTCACTAACCCTCCACTTTACCAACCATGATGTCCTTCTCTAGGGATTGGTCCCTCCTGAATACACACCGAAGTATGACAGATAAAGTCTTGCCATCCTGGCTTCTAAGGAACATCCCAGCCATACTTTTCCACCAGACTGTATTCATCTGGAAGCTGTGGTCCCTTCAATATTCTTCCCAACACCACAACTCAGTCTATGGTCTTCCTAATTCATTGTCCAACTTGCACATGCATATAGAGCTATTGAAATACCACGGCACAGGCCAGGCACACCTTAGTCCTCAAACTGATATCTTTGCTCTTTAAAGAGGTCTTGTGTAGCAGATTAGTGGTGGTAGTTAAGTGCTGTGTAGTCAGTTCTGATTCATAACGACCCTGAAAGACTGTAAATCTTTAAGGGAGCAGAAAGCCTCATCTTTCTCCTGTGGAACAGCTGGTAGCTTTGAACTGCTGACCTTGAAGTTAGCAGCCCAACTCATAACCACTGCACCAACAGAGCTCCTTGTGCAACAGATTAGCCTATGCAATATGTCATTGGATTCCTTAGCTGCAGCTTGTATGAGTGTTGATTGTGCATCTAAGCAAAATGAAGTCTTGACAACTTCATTTTCTCCATTTATCATGGCAATATTAACTCATCCAGTTATGAGGATTTCTGTTTTCTTCTCATTGAGGTGCCACCCATACAGAAAGCTGGAGTCTCT